AAGAAGGAGCGGATGATGCTCACAGTGGACCCGGAGCTGCAGGACGAGCTGTTCGAGCTCGACTCGCGCAGGTGGCCAGCGGAGAAAAGGCTTGCCGGAAGGCAGCTGCTTGAGGCTGACAAACGCCGCTCAGCAGGGTCGGCGTCCGCAGCCTCCAGTCGACCCTGCACGCGGCCGGCGTCCCGCGCCTCATGGCGCTCTGGCGGCAGCCACGCGGACGAGCGGCCGGTGTTTATTGCCGCAGCCCCAACGGGCCGTCTCTTTTCCGAAATCGAGAGGGATGCACAACGACGCCTCAGAGCCTTTCAAGAGGGGGGTGAACCGCAGGAGCCGTGGCAGCAGCGACGGCACGCCTCCAATTGCGCCAAGCTCCATAGCGAGGTTGATGAGGCGGCGTGGTATGAAGAAGTTCAGAACAGGCTGGACCATGCCGAGACGGAGACCTACTGCCCAACGGCGACGACGCGCGAGTCAGTATACGACATCGTCCAAAAAGAGCCGTGCAGCGTCGAGGAACCGGAGATCGAGGCGATAGAAGAGGTTCGAATAGACAACCCCCCCGCTCCGGGCGCGGCAGCGGCGGACGGGAGGTTTCTCAGACTCAAGAACACGGAGTTGGAGGCGATACTGATCAAGGAAGAGCCCTTCAGTCGCCCTATATCTCGTCGCACCTTCCACGACCCCAGTTCTGCGCGTGATCTCATCTATGATGGGGCAAAAATGGCTGGAACACGTCTGAACGAGCCTGAAATGCACTACGGTCGAAAGCGCTTTGATAACAATATTCATGATGTTGATAGGGTTGGCTCCTTGTTGAAGGGTGTTAGCTAACTCTTCGTTATCGATTTAGGTGGTTGTTTCAAATTTTATAGACCTTTAAAGAAAAAAACTAGAAAAAAGGTGTGCGCTCTGAGTGAAACCGTTGTTTTTACTTGAATTTGTTGAGACATTAACTTTGCCTCAATAAACTAGCTGGTAAACAGCATTTAGATGGGATAGTCTTTCATATACATCATACAGAATTCCTCCCTGATGGACGTGCGTTGATAGATTAAAATATTTACCCAGAGTCAAGCAGATGCGGACAGATATTGCTCATCAGTGTATTTCTCGTAGTCTATGTCCAGCTTATAGTCCAAACAGAAAAACACACATGTGGTATTCCTTTCTCTTTTTTATGGCAGAAAAGGAAGGATAAATTACCCTTCGTTGGGTGCGAAAAAATAGAATACAAACGAGTAATTGTGCACATGTTCCTTCGTAATGCACGTCTGATATACAATTCGGGAACCCCTGCTAGGTGTGACGGTGGCTCTAACAACTACGAAACTGGTGGCTCTCCACGCCGCCGCCATGACCGGTGCAGCACCTCCCCACCTGTGGTAGAAAGTAATACCCTGGATGGAAAAAGTGGCACAAGTAGCGGGCTGGCTCTTGTAGAAGAACGCCTAATGATAATCAAGCGAAGTCGTGCTAGCTCGCGGAGCTCTGCTAATTCTTCAGCGTCACCTGCGGTGCGGGCAGAGGTGCCGCCGTGTGAAGCCTACCCTACTTTTAACCTTTCCAAGCCCTCACGGCAGGATCAGCAAACCCTCGAGGCGTTGGCAGCAGAATGTATGAATGCACTTTTCTTTCCCAAAAGCTAAGTCATGTAGAAGCCAAAGCAACACGATCGGGGGACTTGGAACCTAGGGAAGGGGGGGAGGATAGAGGCTGGATATTGCTGAGCAAAGTTTGCGTTAAATTATATTAGTGAGAAAAAAGTGTGATGGTTTATACCCATAAAATAGAAAGGGTACATTGTCTTCCTCTGTGTAGTTTTCCCCTATCGTCTTTCAAATGCAGTAAGAGCTTTTTCTCCTCACTTTCATTACTTTTTTCTATGCAAAGGAAGCGGGGGTCTCATAGTTAACTACAATTTTGATTGTGTGTCTCTCTATTGTTTACTATTTCTACGCCTTTGCTGCATTTTCGTTATTGCTTGCTTTTCTGATGCCGCAGAACGAGTACATTGAGCAAGCACAAAAGCGCTACGGGCGCCGTCTTGATCATGTGGAACGTACACGCAAACGTGAGGCCCGTAAAGCACATGTAGAGGCAACGCACTTGAAGCGGGTTCGTGGGATCAAGGCAAAGATTGCCCAAAAGGCTCGTTACGCGGAAAAAGCGGCCATCCGCAAGAAGATTCGTGAACACGAAGAAAAGCAAACCACAGAGCGCGTCAAGGAAAAGGGCCCGAAGAATGCCCTGCCGAGCTTCCTGATGGACCGTAGTGAAGCGGACCGCGCCAAGATATTGTCTAACTCACTCAAACAAAAACGGAAGGAAAAGGCCGGGAAGTGGGCAGTCCCTATTGAGAAGGTGAAGCCGGTTTCAGAGGATGAAATGCTCAAGGCGGTCACCTCTGGCAAGCGCGGCAAGAAATCATGGAAACGGCTTGTTAATAAGGTAACCTTTGTGGGTGAAACGTTCACGCGTCGTATGCCTAAGACCGAGCGCTTCATTCGGCCCATGGCACTGCGTTTCAAGAAAGCGCACGTGACGCACCCAGAGCTTAAAGCGACCTTTTACCTGCCCATTATTGCAGTTAAAAAGAATCCACAAGGTAAGATGTATACGGGGCTGGGGGTCATTACGAAAGGATCCGTGATAGAGGTTAATGTGTCGGAGCTTGGTCTGGTAACGCCATCCGGAAAGGTAGTATGGGGGAAGTACGCGCAGGTGACGAACAACCCTGAGAATGACGGTTGCATTAATGCGGTTCTGCTTGTGTAAAAGGGGTAAGCAAACTGGCTGCATGGTCATGTTTTTTTCTCGCTGCTACGACATCTAGAGGATGGCCCATAAATCCTTTGCTTTTATTGCCTAAACGTTAGCAATATGAAGTCATCAACGGCATCGTGAAAAGGAATAAATGAAGATGATTTACTTGGACGCGAAGGGAGCAGGGGATATCTACAGCCTACCTCTCATTGCGGTTAAAAATGCTAAATTTCGTGCTAATGTCCTGCTTCTCTACATGCATTTTTCTACACGATGGCGTGAAAATAACTATTTCTAAACATTTGATATTGGCGATTAAATTGGTCGTTTGACGTTTATCATGATAAATATATATATGTATTTTTCTTTTTGCTTCCCTGTTGCTACAAATAAGCAAACAAATTATGTTATTGTTCTTATCATATTTGCCTTTTTTCTTCTTTATAGTATAAAGCTGTTCTCCTTTCAATAAAATAATCTTTAAAGGAGCGGCCAAAATATTTTGTTTTCATTATTTTTATATCAAGGGAAAGCAATAGTTATACTCTAAGGAACTTCCACCGTGACAATTACAATATAAAAAGTAAACACTAGTATATTCACTATAGTTCCTAGCTACACAAAAGCTGCTATTTTTCTCCCTAACTACAGGACTATACAAATCCTAACCTGGGGTATTGTCTCTAAGGTAAAGTAAATATACAAGATTGTCAAGTGTTCTAGTTCCTTCTCTCTGCATCTTTTTTGCCTCTATATAAGCAAATACAACCTTCATCCCTGGTGAAAACAGAAAACTTGAGACAAGAATGACTCATGAAAAGATGATTATGCATAGCAGTGTTTTTTTAGATGAGTGTAACAATGAGAACCCACACCATGCCGTAGTTTATTCACTCATTCCCTGTGAAAAGGTCCAATCACTCTTGATAACGGGGCCTGGTAGGGCAACCACGCCCATGTCAACAAAAATAGGCACCTCGTCCCCATCGGTAACAAAAATGCTGCCCATCGAGCTCCCCCCTGATTATGTTCTGAGTTCTAACCGAATGGGCAGCAACCGCGATGAGGCATTAGTCGAGACTCCTTCCGTTCAATCGTCACGCTTTGTCAAATTTACTCCCTACGGCACCATGAGGACCACTAAGTCTCATGGATCTGCGTGTTTCAGTAAACAAGTGGAGGCCGATATCGACAACGAAAGTGACTTCGACGACTTTACTTTGGCATCGAGCAACACAGCGCACGTGATGACACCTCAGTCCTTGTTAGCTCTTCAGGAAGAACCACAAATCGGTAGGGATGGTTGCTCAAACACAGTTGTAGATCCCATGGGGGATGTGGTGAGCTTCGTTTCCTTTCGTCGCCCCAATTATAGGTGTTGTCGTCTCTGCCATAGCAATTTACCCTCCGCCGCAAATTTCTGTCCTCAGTGCGGCTCAATGGTGGAGGCGCAAAGTGAGCGATTATGCGTCTCTAATGTTGAGGCCGATAGTTCTCTTTCTAGTGCGCTTGTCTCTCCTAGTCTTGGTCGGGATCCATGTGCCAGCTTTAGCACAACGCCCCTAACCCCTTTTTGCGATGCTGATTCCCTTTCAGATCGCAGTGCACACCACCGACCAGTGTATCGCCGCCAGGTGCTTGTTCTTTGCCGTCACGAGGAAGGGATGTTAGGTTGCGGGGCCAATGGAGTTGTATACAAGGCGATCGACCTTGTTAGTGGGCAACAGCTTGCGGTGAAGGAAATGCACATTAACCTACAGAATAAGTCGGAGTTAGTTTCCATCCGAAATGAACTGCGCCATCTGTCCCACCTTCGTCACCCGAAAGTCATTGAGTACTATGGGTGCTCAATCAGGCATACAACACCGACGCCAAGCACGTCGACGGCAAAGCAACCCATAGATATGGCGGTAATACCAGAGAATAATAGTGAGACCATTAGAGTGTATATCCTGATGGAGCGGATGGAATGTGGAACGCTGCAAGGACTACTAAAGGGTTTACCGGACGGCTTTCCGGAGTGCACTGTTCGCGTGTATGTCTCCCAACTGCTTGAAGCCATCCACTATGTGCATCAGTGCGGCATATCGCACTGCGACATCAAGCCTTCCAACTTGCTGCTGGCCTCGGATGGCACGATAAAGCTGGCTGACTTTGGCTGCGCTAAGATGAAGGCAGCACATCATCCGAACGGACAGTCGTCTGAGCGCGAGCTGGCGGGCACCCCTGTGTACATGCCACCCGAGACGCTTCTTAACCTGAGAATGAAGGACGCGGACTGGGTGTTCCTCGGGCAAGCGCAGGACATCTGGGCCCTCGGGTGCGTCGTCCATCAGCTCCTTACAGGGAAAACGCCGTGGGTGTTCACAAAAATATCCAGTCCTTGGGCCCTTCTTTCATATATTCAAGCGCATCCACAATTCCCTCTTAGCGATGAGCTCTCATCATCTGCACTAGACTTTTGTCGTCTCTGTTTTGAACCTGATCCACGCACTCGAGTCGAAAACATGGGGAAAATTCTTGAGAGTTCTTTTATTTCCGATACAGCTAGCCACTCTCCGTGGTGATAGGAGACGACCTAAGAGCAACGCTCCTTTATCCAAAATAAAAAAAACTTAGACTAAAGAGATATGCATACGTTGAAGTGAAGTGATGCGCCTTACTCCAAGTCGCGTGCCTTTTGTGTGCTTACTTCTTTGAGAATTTATTTTGACTTTTTTTCCTGCTTTACTACTCACATTTTTTGGCTACCTTTTGATAACCTGATGCCATTGGATTATTGGTTTTCGCGATAAACTAAATGACATATCTCATATTTTCAAGTATGAATTATTTTAACAAAAGGGCAATGGCATTTTTATTATACGACACAAATGCCCAGTATATCTTTGACTTTATCGGAATAGATATATATATATATATATCGTAATAGACTGTTCTTTCCATCGTGTATTGGATTCTTTATTACATTGACTTTCGTTAGCGCCAGAAACAAATACAACAATTATGTGCTGGTATTAATGCATAATGTTGTTGTTGATATAAATTTATTTGATCACTTAATGGGTAATTGAGTTTTGGTTGTGTATTATCTTCTGAATGTGCTATGAATTTCAAACGGAATGAAAAAGAACTCGAATTGTTGTATCACATTAAAAATTCCCATCGCCCCTCCCCTCCCTTCCCTCCCCCCCCCCCCTTCTCTCCCATCCCTCTCCCCCCTCATGTCATTATTGACAGTAGAGGTTGTATAACAAAATTAAGCGAATATCGCTATGTTTATACACACGTCACCTGCAATCATACGGTCACATGCTCACATTTAAAACGGTTTTTATAAATAAATATTGTATATGTGTGTGTGTGTTTGTGAGTGTGTATTTATATACCAGTAGCGGGAATGCTAAAAGGAAAAAAATATAACCATACAATGGAGTGCAAAACAATGACTCAAATTTTTATACGTTTTTTTCAAAGTGGTAAATGGTCAAGAAATGTTCTTAAAGCACAATAAGTTCAATGTAACTTCTCTCTCTCTCTCCTTCAATTACTGATATGGCAATGTTCTTTGATGGGGGATATCAACCTATCTGCCTACACTTTGATTTGCTTCTACTTATTTCAAGTGCACTTAGAGCAGATTTAACTAGACACAAGAAAATATCAATACAATACAATTGATCGATTTTTTAAGCAATTAGAAATGAATTCCGAGGTGAAGACCGTTTACAATGCTCTTCCAAATCTTCCTGGCTTCAACTTTGCGGAGCTGCATGAACCTGCTAGTCACGGGCTCCACCACCATTGCATCTTATCGAAAGAAGGTGTGTGTATGGTTCTGGATGGTAGAACTTCTGCAGCCCCACACGAGCCTCCCAGCGGTTGTGGAATTCCAGCTCGCACCATCCTAGACAAATTTCCCATGTGGAAGACACTCGATGACAAGGTCATTCGTTTTTTTGGTTATTATATCGATGACGTCGACAACAGCTCAGTGGAAAGTGGGGTGCGCGTTCGTAAGGTTAAGTTCCACTATTACCTGGCTGATGGCACGCTTGCCATCATCGAAACTCCGGCTGTCGTAAACAGTGGGCTGCGTAAGGGCACAACAGCATCACGTTTTAAGCCCGAAAATGTGGATGTATTTAGTTTTTGTATTGGCGGCTCCATCACGTGTCGCGGCATCACTTATAATCTTGTCGACTGTGATGCGGCAACGAGAGAGTTTTACGACATCATGGGGATGCCACAGCCGGACTGGCCTCTCAGTTATCCATTTGACAGTTTTGAAGCCTCAAAATCCCGTCCGCGCATGGATGTGGATGAGGAAAATATTGCAATGAGTAGAGTTTTTGAAGCTCAGGCGGCTATCCACTCTGGCACACACCCCAGTCTCCTGTCTAAGGAAGAACGTGAAAAAGCGCACAACTACTACATGAACGATGGGAAGGTGTTGCGGTATTTCGCAGTCTGGGAAAAGCGTCTGTTTCGGATTCATTATTATCTCGCCGATGGCTCAATTTCTGTCATGTTTGATACCATTGATAACGACGGTCGGGATCGCAACCGCGTCTTTATTCGTCGCACTCGTATCCCGAAAGACGTGAAGGCGGCTTTAGTGCAGACCGAAACTCTGAGCAGGCCTCGTGGTGTGGAAGCCTCGCAACACATCAGCGCTGAAGACCTTCGCACAGGAACGATTGTGGATCTCTTTACACGACCGTTTTTTATTTACGACTGCGACTCATATACACGGCAGTACGTGAAAAAGCACTATGGAGTGGAGTTGTCCGCCTATGAACGCCCCCCGACGGAATTGGACGACATCCAATTAGCAAAGGATAAATCTAGGCGTCGCGGTAAGTCCTCCGACAGAGAGGATGTGAAAAAGGCCTCTGAGCCCAAGAGAACCTTTGGCGCGTCGGCAATGATGTTCGGAGACAATGTGAAGGAAAAAAACACGCTGCAGTTGACCCGCTTCGCACATGACGTCCTCCGCTTCTTAGCGCACATCGTCGACCCGCACCCGTCAGACAGGGGTCGTAAATTCATCATTAGCTACTACCTCGCCGATGACACCGTGTCGGTGTTCGAGTTGGTCGTCCGAAATTCCGGCCATGTCGGCGGGAAGATATTCGCCCGTCGCAGCGTGGAGGGGGTCGACGATCCTAGAAAACTTCAGGTAGGGCACACCACACGTTTGGGTGGTGTCGAATATCTGCTGGAAGCGATGGACCAGCGCACGCAACGCTACATCGAGGCTGGGGTGCTAGACAGCATGGACGACGCCTACTTCCAGTTGGATGAAATCATCGCGACAATGCGGCAACACGTCTTGCATCAGTTTTCTAGCACCACGGAAGCGTACCGCCACTATGCATCTTCTAGTACCAAAGGCCTGACTGCGGAAAGTGTCAAAGAGGTGTTCAGCGACAGCGGCGTCCGCCTAGACGACGCACTACTGGAGAAGGTCATGGGGCGAGTCGACTGCGACCATGACGGATGGGTCTCGCTGGCCGACTTTACGGAGCATTTGCTTGGCCAGAAGTTAATGTCAGACTTCCAGCCTCAGGGCACCCTCGCCTCCATGGCTAAAGAGGGTCTCGATCCCGAACTAAACATCCCGATTCCAAGAGGACCAATTCAGAGTGCAGCAGCGCTAACGCGGCTTGCCAACGCAGACGTGGCAGCCGCCGCCGCGTTTCGCAAGTTTATTGCTGTGATGGAAGCGCGGCGCACATTGTTAATGCGCACGTTCAGAAATGTTGCAGCGGGCACATATGACGGGAACTTGGGGCTGGAAGACATCAAGGGCTGCTTGGCAACGCGTCTAAAGGTTCCCCTTTCCGATGAGGAGCTAAATGCGCTGCTCTATAAATTTTTTTACATCCCAACCATGCCCAACTGGGCGGCTCGTCGGCTTAGTATAAATGAGGTTCAGCAGCTTATTCGCCTTTGAGTGAGGTCGTTTCATTTGTTGCGGGCTGTTTGATGGGGATGTTGAATGAAGTGCTCAACTTTGACGACAGCGCACGTCGTGCGATATGTAAATAAAACGAAAAAATCATGTTTCCCTTTTCGGTCGCATCCGCTAAGTGAAGATTTTGATGTAAAACGCAATACTCTTGCAATTCTTTATCGTACAATTCTAGCCACTACCCTATTTAAAATATATGTATATATATATATATATATATATACATACTGAAACCTTAAATCGAACATTATATATGGATATCAATATATAAATATGGATATTATTCCCTCTTCCCCCTGCACCGACCGATCCCCTGTCGCTGTCCTTTTCATATTGCGTAAGTGTGTGTGTTTTCAACCAACGATGGCGAACAAAAACGCCAAGGGCAATGCAAAAAGGGAAGTCAAGCAACTTTCCCACCCACGCGACCGACGCGTGCGGCAGCTAGAAAAGAAAGAGAAACGCAACAAGCGTCTAGTTGGAAACAAAAACAAGATCAAGGCTGCTGAAGCACAAAAGGTGGCACGCTTCTTTTGGTTTCGCGAGCAGTGCAAGGCCCTTGGGTGCACCCACAAGCCAATCTTCTCAGACGACGTTTTGCCCCTGATACAGCTTTACATCAATCGCAACCAGAAGGAAATTAGCGAACTTAAGTCGTTGCGCAATCCACCCCATGGGAGCATCAAGCAATTAGAAATGATGTTTGAGGCCGAAATGGATGCGTTTCGGTCCACCAAAGGCGTTGCCATTCCCTCCCTCGTGGATGCAGACGACGTGGAGATTCTGACGGAAATCTGGGACGGCCAAGCGGAAACGGCAGTGGTGGTGCCAGTGCAGCACGTTTCGCTAGGGCAGAAAGTCATTGATGAAAATAAGCTCCATGCACTAGAGGCACGCATCAAAAGCATTGATGCAGTACGGCAAGAAGGTATGTCGGTTCTACCGAAGCTCTTTAAATCCAACACTAAAGCAAAGAAAACAGAAAAAAAGTCGGTCAAGCGTCAGGTAACCATTCCGGAGGAGTTGCAGAAACGCAGCATCTTGAAATCGAAAAAAATGCAACAGAAAAAACAGAGCGAAGTACGTGAGGCCCTCCTCCGGGAGCGGCGAGGTAATTAATGTCATAAATTAACGTGAATATTAACGTCAATACGTGTGTAATGGTAAATAAAGGCAAAGAAAGACGCAAAAAGAAAAACATTCGACCCGTGACCCTGCCTCAAATGCGGCGGCAGGCCTGCACAAGCCCCGGAACCCTCCTCCCCTCCCCCCGGCCCCATCTCAGTCAAACAAGTTGAAGGAATGAAAAAAATGTTAGCACCGGTTGGTTTCGATCCAACGACCTATGGGTTATGAGCCCATCGCGCTTCCACTGCGCTACGGTGCTGCTGGACCCTGCGAGTTAGAGAAATTTGTTTACATTTAAACATCCCTAAACAAAAACATTAGACCTGGTATCCGGTCGCTTGGTCTAGTGGTATGATTCCTGTTTTGGGTACAGGAGGTCACGGGTTCAATTCCCGTAGCGACCCTTTTTGGCATCGCCGCTTGGATGATTTTTTCAAGTAAAAAGGTAGGACCCACCCGGGTTTGAACCGGGGACCATTCGGACTGCAGCCGAACGCTCTACCACTGAGCTATGAATCCACGTTGGCCGGGTTTCCGAACACATAAATACAATTATAATTTTCATATGAACTTACGCTAAACAACTATCTTACAAATATATAAATTGGGACGGTTACGACTGGCATCGCCGCTTCGACTTTTACTAAGTGGCGCAGCCGAACACGTTCTTAAATTTTGGGGCCTTCGGGTTCAGGATTCACTGAGTGGTCGTCAACATGTAATAAATCCTCGGTGTACAAGGTGAGATGGTCGAGTGGTCTAAGACGTTGGATTAAGGTTCCAATCCTTTCGAGGGCGTGGGTTCAAACCCCACTCTCATCACTTTTTGGCCTGAAAAATACGTAGCTCTGGGAAAGGCTGTTGGACAGTGTGCTCGTTTATGGAATACCACAGTGAAACTTTTGATCGCTTAAGCGGGGGCGGCATATAAGATATTAACTATCTTTAATGCTTTAAAATGGAAATAATGTTTTCTAGTTTTAAAAAATACTAAATTTACAGGTTGCTTCTCTCATTCCCCAATCGTGTTACCAAATGATAGTTGGTCTTATTTTCCAACATCTTCTTTTTGTTTACCATTCTTATTCGACTTACTTATCTACTAATTCAACTCTTGAAGCTGTATCTGGAGACCAGATAAACGTTAACAGTGTTCAATCGAAGTGTTTGATCCCCATTGGATGGCCTCTGAGGATGCCCTGTCGAATGCCCTACCAGTACCAGTAGCCAAGCCTACATGCTTCCGCCGATAACGGGAAGGCGTGCAGGCACTTAGCTTCGCCAACTGGCTACTAGTCCGCCGTACCACGAAGAGGTGGCCGACATATACCGCGGGTTTTCCAGCATTGTAATAGTTTCCGCTATTTCACATATCTCCTGTGTGAATGGATTCTTATACAGAATTAAATCTATCAACAAAATTGGAATGTTAATTTTAAGAAATACAATTTTCATAGAAATCGGATACGACGAGCGGGGACATTAAGCAACATATCACTCATCGTATACTTTCAACTTCCCCCACCATCGGGTATAGTAAGTGCTGTTTGGCTGGAATCCTTTGAATATGATATTCGATTAAAATTAAAGTAAAATGTTTACAATTAGTACCGATTTTATTCTAAAATAAGACTAAACGCTA